GAAAGCGAGGAATGCCCAGCTAATGAGGGCAGAGGATTTCAAGCTCTCTCATGTTGGAGGGAGCATCCATGACCTGATGACACTGCTTTCCTAATGACTGGTTGCCTCCCCCTAAGCTGTTCATGTGAAAAACTTGCACTCAATGCAAAAGCCCAGTCAGAAGCTCCCATCACCATATCACTTCATTACATCTATTCAGCCAATAATTTTTATTTCTTTTTCTTGTGCCTTTTACCTGGAGTCCTATTGCAAACTGCAGGTAAGGCAGAGCTAACTTCACATACAAGGGAATTCAACCGCCTCCACCAGAGACAGGGGCAGCTATTTAGCACTGCATCCTAAAGATGTGCTTTCACTGTCGTCTTGAGCTGACTTAGAGACCATGCTGCTACTGAAAGGAGTAAACCAGATTTCCCTCCTCCCTGAAGGCTGCTCATTCCTTCCCCCTCCTTTGTGTTAGCACTAGAGGTCCTGCAGCTTCTCATTATAGCTGGAAACTCAACCTGCCAGGAGTTTGTTTTTAGGATGACCAGAGACCTGATCCAAATCAGGATCTATGGTCACACGAGTACTAGCACTGCTCCTAGACAAAGGGTGAGAGCAAACAGCTGGGAGAGGACACAACAGATTGTCTCCTTTGGTAGTATTACTGTCTCAGCCGGATGAGACTGGTTGTAAAACTGCTCTCTACGCCTATAAAACTGGTGAGCACAGGAAATAAAGAGCATTACTGTCAGCTGAAATAGCAGCAGGAAAGTGTGGAGTCAGAAGGCAGTCAGCCCCTTAGCCCCACAAATTTCACCAGCACACCAGTGCCAGCTCACAAGATCCTGTGAAAAACACTGAAAGACCCCTATTACACATGACCAGAATCACTTCTATTTGAAAATGCTACTCCCAAGCATCGTGTATTACTATATGTTCATGCTAAAAATTATCATTCCTGTCTGATGGAATGCAAATTAGATTATCCCAAAGGAAAACAATTGTTCGGTCTCCCATGCAGCTTACTGAAGTTTTAATCTCAGGCAAGGTCTGCAGCGTGTGCTGGGACTAGTGCTGCTGGAGAGGGTGTCAGGACATCCTGAGCACTCTGCAGTGTGGAGGGGACTGCTGTTCTGAAAGGATTTACTTGCCTTCATTACCCTAGGGATGCCCAACACTGAGGGAGCACTAATGGTGTTGGAAATTCAGATTTTTTCAACCAACTCTAAAACTGAGGTTACTTTTTCCCTCTACTGCAGAACCTGAGTTGCTCGATCCAAGCTCCCACTGAAACCAACAAAACAATGTCAGTGGGTGCTTGATAGGACTCAGAGATTCTGGTCTCTTGCAGTGCCAGTGCTCAACAGAAGCTGTGGTTGGTGACCCCATAAAGGGAAATATCCCTTTCTGTTTGTGAAGTCAGGGATGGAATGGACTTCTTTATTTCTTTGTAAAGCATGAAATAAAACCCTGACAACATGAAGAAAAGCAGAGAGAGAACTACAGAATGTAGTATTAGGGTAGGGAGTGTCTCCTTCCTCTAGGCTTTTGGAGGAACAAAAGCTATTGCTACAGTGCAATGGAGTTTGCTTGTGGCTGCCTATGAGAGGCTTCCTATATGCCAGTCCTTTTTCAAGTTTCAAGTTCTCTGCCTTAATTTTCCTAAATCAGAGCAGAAGGGACAAGCAGCCTTAGCAGAAGACAGGACCTGAGGACCACAGTACTCAAATCCCATAAGCTTTTCAGAAGTCCCTCCAGACTTTCTGCGAAGCCCCCTGGCAAAGCAGCCTCCAACTCAGCGCTGCAAGGATGCAATTTCAGCACAACTGCCTGCCAGAGGGCTCGCGTGGTCCTCTGCAAACCCCAAAGCAGCTCTGTGGGTATTACCTGTTTCATCACTGTACTCCCCGTCAGGGCAGTCCACACACTCGAAGCAGCAGGTGGGCTCTCCCTCAATAATGCCCTTCCTTGTGCCTGGGAGGCAGTCCCTGCTGCAGTTAGAGAAAGGCACCTGCAAGAAAAGAACCCGATGAGGGTTAATGGTGGTACCCCACATGCAGCCTTTCTACAGCAGGACCTTGGTCTTCCTCCAAGCGTGTTATTGCTTGATTAGCATGCTGGATGGAGACCCTCAGAGGCTCACGTCTTCCCTCCACAGAAAAGACACATTTTGCACAATAGTTGTTCCCCAACCCACTGCAGTGATATTTGAAAGAACACATCAAGGGGCAGTAGGGAAGATCAGCAGACCTTTGTAATCTCTGCTGTGTTGTGGGCACTGCAAACTGGTATGTGACCAATGATATGCATACCAGAAAACAGTCATTTGATGGTTAAAAGAAAAGAAAAGCAATCTCTACTGGCAGAAATTTGAGTCAGCCTTGGAGAAGATGGGCTCTGACTACTGATGCCCAATCCCATATATTGCACATTGACTGCTAATGATTTATGAAGATTAAAATGGATTATCGAAACCCACTTCTTCCTGTTCTCCTGAAGACCCTCTCCAACCCAGAAACAAAAAAAGATTAACTAAACAAGAGGAATTTTTGTATGAAAGAAAGACCCTGTTTTTAGAACACTGAGCATCTAAAGATGCAAATCCACAGCTATATGCAGACCCAAAGGCTTCCAGACTTCTGCTTCTGCAAATGATGAGCTGTGTCACCTGCTGTGTGTGTGCCCACCTGGGCATGGTCATATCCCAGCAGCAAGGGATTGCACGGGCATGCTCACCACATAATAAGTGGAAGCCCGGGCCTTTTTTACACAAAAACATGACCTGAGGTTGAGCTCACCTTTTCCCAACTAAGTTGAGGAAAGAGAGCTGACCTTGGCTTTTTCCCCCTTGGCTCAGGGGAGTTAAACCCACAGTTTCCACCGACAGCAAAGCACTATGATCTGTACATACTTAAGGGCCACTCTGGTTGGAAGCCTCTGTTCACCTTTTTGGAAGGTCGCTGCTAGTTTGCCCAAGTCCTGCTAACCTGATGATCTCCAGGAACCTCCCGTGTGGATGCACTTAGGCAGTGAATCCAGGGATGGTTTGGAAATTGCCTGTGTGAGGGCACTGACGTCAGCCACAGGGTAAGCAAGCCCTCGGTAGCGGCAACTCCTACGAGGAGATGCCCATGTTGTGGCTCAGGTATTCACTTGCTGCTGAGAGTGGCCGCCGTTGCCTATCATTCAGAAGTATAGCTGCAGTACAGTTTGGGAATACTGTTTCTAAGCTGTTAATCAGGATTGCATAATTAATTGGATGGACACATATCCTGGGCAAATCCCTGCAGCTCCCCACTTGAAGCACTCTTTGCTGTTAATACCTCTTGCTATTAATACAGTGTGCTGTTAATACCTATTCCTTGGGACAGTCTTTCAGCAGGTAGCTCATTCGCCACAAGGACTTCATGGGTCTAGACTGTCCTTCCCTAGGCTGACACTGATGATTCTGAACTGGGCTGAATCAAAGGCCTGACTGACGTCTTGCATTATCTACTAAGCTGATTGAACTTCCAAGGAGGAAAATTAAATTGGTTTGGCATGATTTCATCTTGACAAATCCATGTTGGCTTTTTCTTATCAGCTTATTATCCTCTAAGTGTTTATAAACTGTTTAATAATTTATTTTATCAAGTCTTTCAGGTTACTGAAGCTCAGCTCACTTGTGTGTAATTCCCTTGGCTCTCCTGTATCTGCTTTTAAAAACAGGTATTTCGATTACCCTCCTCTAATCCTTTGAGACATCACCCATCCTCCACATTTCTCAAAGATGAATTGCTAGTACTTTTGAGATTGCTTTGGCTGCCTTAACTATTCTGTGGGGAATAGCATCAAGTTCTGCCAAAATGAATCTATCTTACCTACTCTTTAACTTGTTCTTTTGCAAGTCTGGCCAATGCTGAAGTTCCTGTGTTAAAACTAACTATAGTTAGTCTTTTTTTGAGGATGACAGAGGCACAGAAGGCTTCAGCGAGTGAAGTTCTGGCTACTCTGTTTGAGCAGAACCTTTTATCTGGAAGAAATTCAGACTCTATAAACTGAAAAAAAAAAAGGCTGCAGCAGAGATAGTGATCAAAAATCCCTCCACTGGCACACAATTTACATGCCCTAGCATGACACTCATCAACATCCAGTCACATTTTTAACAGTTTAGGACAGAGAATGAAGATAAATACTGCACTGTTGGAGGAATTTAGACCCACAAAACACAATTACTCAGTTTAAGTAATAAAACAATAAAATCCTAACTGTTGGAAAAGGTGCCAGTGGCATTTGAAATGATCAGAAGGAGGGGTTAGAATATCAGGGATTTTTTAAATTCCACTTGTAGTTTGTGCTCAGAGACTCCATGTGGGCTTAGAAAAGCCTGAGCTCAGTGTTTTGGCAGTAATGGGCTCTGCCTGATCCATGCCTCCTTCAGAGAGCTCTGGATTTAAACCATAAGTGAACCTAAGGTATCTGGAGTAAAGGTAAGGCTTACCTGATGGTGTAAATATATTAAGTAAGTGTAACTACTGCAGAAGCAGTTACCTGATCTGTCAGCCAGTGTGAATAATCACCTGGAAGGGAATTGCCTTGTTCATTAATCAGGTGCTGATTTAACACACTTAACATTGCAGCAGGGCCTAGCAGTGACATTTCTAAGTGACTGCTCCCTGTGTCACCTCCCAGGCCACAAGCTGGATGCCTGTTCAGTATCCCCTCTGGGAGCCGGGGTTTCTGCCTAGGCTGGCATTGGCTGCTGCCTGCTGTGACAGCAGCTCACCTGGCTCTTGTCTGGAGATCTCTGCACTGCATTCCCACCACCCAGGGCAGACACAACCCTGGCTGCTAGTGATGACACAGTTATGCTGAAAAGATATGCAAGACAGTGGTGAAGGTGTTAGGGTCGACTAAAATCAATGGCTACATCATGTACTTTTGAGACTGCAAAAGCACCTTCTGGTAGATTAAAAAAAAAGGCAGCAGGTACTGGCATCTCCCACTATTTGAGCACCATGTCCAAGTTAACCTGGGCAGACTGACAGGGCTTGTTCTGTTTGGTTTGCAAGGCAAGGGGGTAAGGCAGGCTTTGGGACTTGGAGGATAAAGCCAGCAGAAAGAGTTGTGAATTTAATTAATTTATTTATTAATATAA